CAAATCATTTACTTACTGCTTATGATGCTTATGCAGCGATAGACAAAATGATTTTTCTTCGGTTTCAACTTATTTACCTAAAGTAAAAGAGAGTATAGGCTCTCTTGCATAGGCTTCCTTGAAGAGAGCTAAACAGCTATAGATAATCCAAGGACAATACAAAATTATATGAAATGATACTACTCTTATTTTCTGGGCTGTTTTGCAGACAGAAATATTCAGAGTTTAAAATGCAAAATGAGTTAAAGTTTGTTTAAAACAGATTCACTGTATGAATGTTGAGAGATTTCAGTATTTTGATATGCCTAGACCTCTGATGAAGCCAAATATTTACTAAAACTCTTATTTAGCCTTATGTTTAACTATTTAATCTTTTTTTTTTCCTCCTAAAATTTCTTATGTTAAAAGACTTTACAAGCTCTGGGTTAAGATATACCCCATTATTTTTTAAAATGTGTGCTTGTACATCAAAGGCTATGCCTCCTTCACTTAAAATGAACAATCCAAGGAGAATAGAAGAATGGCTTACAACTGACCAAGAAATAAATATGGTTCATTATGCTAATGAAAAAAATTTTAAAAAAATGCTCTCAATTCAATGTTGATGACAAGTCAAGGGACACAGATTACAGTAAAAATGATTTTATGAAGAAAATCCACTGAAGAAAGCACTACTTCAATCTTCAATTCAATTATTTATTTTGCAGAAAGGCAGCAAGGTCATACTGTCCTACGGGTTCAACAGTTATGTACCACTAAACTTCTATTAGGAACAAGTAAATAATTTTCTGAACTTTATTTTCCTAGTTATGTCCTAGGATAAGTAGTGTCCTTTTAATTTTACATTCCAGAAAACTACTGTACAGGAGCAAAAATATTAAACTCTGACTAAATGTACTCTATTAACTGAGGAAATACATCATTCTATGGTTAGAAAGATTACCCTCGAAAGTAGATAAAATTATCTGAGAGCTTTAACTTGCCCTAAACATTTCCTAATAATAATGGGCAACTTAATGATGCTATAAAATTCTATTCAGGGTTCTACATTCTAATGGTCTACTGGTTGTTTCGGGTAAGGAGTGTGGTAGTACGGAGACGGGTGATTGCCATTCCTGGCATGTTTTAATCTTTCAGAGATTATTTCTGCTATTTAAAGGTTGTAAGTAATTAAAATATATGGAGTCCTCAAAACTGCTTACTGTAAATTCCCTAGTTTCTAAACTTAGGACATAATCTAAATTCATATCCTCAATTTTAATTCCTATCCCTTGCACCTTGCCAGTCGTTTTTAGGGTCAGAGACTTATAACCAAATTGTATGTATTGGCAATAGGGCTTTAGCTAACGGACATGCCTGCAATTAACCCAACTCCCAAAAAATGACGACAGTCTGTGCAAGGACACAGAGTTCCTCCAACTGTGACAAAGACAGTTCTCAAACTGCTGCTCGAATTTTCCTTTGCTGCTCCTCCCTACATTCAAATGGACTATGTTCAGGGAAAATAAATTATCCCTTTCCCTTCTATTAATGCTAACAACTAAAACAGAAAGGTATTTATATAAAGTTTAATGTATCTCAAACTTCAGATAAAATAACATACTAATTTATATCTACTTATGGTTCCTCTCTTCTAAAAAGCTTAAAATATACTTATTTTGCAATACTTCTTGAGGGTAACATAGGAAATTATTTGGTTTCCCATTTAACAAATTATTGATTTTACTTGAGGCAAAAAAGGTTAAGTGACTTACCCACAGTTATAATTAGAGGTACAGCTGGGGCTAGAAACCAGGTCTCCTGAGTCTCAGCCCAGGGCTCTTTTCCTTAGCCCATGATGCCTTATCAGAAAAATCCAAATACAGTCAGACCCCCAGTTACATGGGTATGAGTTACACTGATTCACATATACAAACTTTATATAGTGTGACCAATGTTTCAACTCACGCGGTACCCTGCTTCCATTTATGCAGTATGCCAGGCATCGGCACGATTTTCAGTGGCACACAGGCGGTTGCCACCACCAGGGCCCTAGGCAAAATTGCAAAGAAGGCAAAGTTTGTCTTTGGCCCTCCCACCACCCTTATGCATTCCTCTCCCACCTCCTGGTCATCCCCCTGCCCAGCCTCCCGGCGCCATCATGCTGCCCTCTGGTTGTCCAAAGCCCCCCACTTCCACCACTCACCAAGGACTGACCTTTCTGGAAGTGCCCCGTGTTCCAAAATTACCTCTCCATTTCCCTGACACTAAAATTCCTATTTCTGAGAATTTCAATGAAGTGTAGGTATTAGGTACTCTAAATGATTAACTGATTTAAGTAACTCAAAGTAAGATCTACTTTTAATAGACTTCCATCTCCAAGGAGTTTAAAAAGGAACTAATCAACACTGATTTGGGGGAGGGAAAGAAGGAAGAAATATTTTTTTTGGTGGAGAGGGGGAGGTGAAACCGAAAGGTTTTCCCAGTGCCCTAGGCCTCTTGTGCCACTTCAGATTCCCTCAGAGACAGGACACTAAGAGCTGAAGGGCCTTACTGGAACTTTGAGTCTCACTATCCCAGAAGACTGGTTGTTTTAGTTTGTTTCTGGGATGATTTTACAAAAGAGAGAGAGAAAAAGAATGAGAGAGAGAGAGAGAGAGACAGAGCTGCCTTAACTAAATACCCTCCCCTACCTACCTTTTCCATCTCTCTCCCACCTCTTGGATCCCCATTTCCACCTCTTAGTGCCAAAGACACCCAACAGCATTCCCTGTAAGCTGTTCTTTTGTCCAACACAAAGCTTTCCATTATGTGGTTTCAAATTATATGGTGTTATTCAGAAACGTATCCATGTTCCCCTACCCCTGGATAACTTGAAGTTGACTGTATGCTAAAAAAGAACAATCCTAATTATTTAAAGGTCCTGAATCATAAGATGAAATATGTAAACTCATTATCTAGTAAGAAGGAAAAGAATGTTCTGATTCTTATCTTGTATGCATAAAAGAATTAATCTGGATATCTAAAAAAACATTCAATCCTTTTCCTTGAAAGTAGTAGCTTTCTTACTTCTGGCCCAACACAGCAGTGAAAATCCAGTCATTTCAGCTAAATAATATTGTGGACTTGTTTACATGAATTCATTTGAAATCCTCTTAGTCTGAAGGCAAAAAAAAATCCAGTAACAGACACATGAAAAGTGTAAGTTTATTTGTATACAAAGCAGAATGGGTTTTTAAGAAACCCATGTTTCTGCTGTCTACACACACAGGAATAGAAAGAGAAGTACTTTTCTATTTAGCTTTGCAATACTAGATTGGCTACCTAGTTTGGAAATTTATCAGGCGATTAAGTTACTTTGCTCCAACTACCCTCCCAGTAAAATTAAAAATTCAATCCATGCAGAAGGTACCAAAAATGGTATCCATCTAGGATTAAAAGTCATGTAAAATCTTAAATGATTTCCAAATTTTTATTACAAAAATTAGTTGTTCTATCAGCCAATATCCTGAATTAGGTCTCTTCCCAATACTGTCTTCATTATGGAAAAGGAGCAATGTTAAAACATGCTGCAGTTATAAAATAGCCATTCTTATCTAAAAGTGAAAAATGAACAGGTAAAAGTTTCTCCGGGGGCATTTTTAATCAATGTCAATATTCAAGGGTTTACTATACAAAATTCATTTCCTTCCCAATCTTCCCCTCCTCCCTACACAACCACAAATAGGTCTGCCACCTCCACCTGTTTATACGTCCTATGAAGACAAGTTCCCAATGTGGGTTTTTATTAAAATTCAAATGTGAACACTGAAAGTCACTCAGTATGCACTGCAAAAAATATATGAATTCAGTATATATTTTAATCTACTCACATATTTTGCTGCAAAGTACTCAAGAAAATCAGAAAAGCAACTGTTAAAAAAGAGGAGTGTGCCTCTTCTCTTACGTCAAGCAACTTAAATAACTTTTCAAGGAAAAATCGTTTCTTTAATGGCTAAGAAACGATCTGCCTAGACAAGCAGCATAAAAAAATGAGCAAGTGGTTTGCTGTTAAGAGATAATACTGAACTAGACCTTTCCTCGGAAACAGCATGGATTTGAGCTCAATTTGAGAATACATTACTAATTATCATCACCAAAAAAGCAACAGCATTTCATGTTTTTATTAGAAATTCCTTAAGACAAAAAGATATCCAGCAATTACTGATTTTCTACGCAAATCCTAACCTAAGTGCTTAAAAGGATTGTTGTTTCCTTCAATTCTATTTCACTGGGCACCACATTTTCAAAATGGCTCTATTTGGGGCACATGCAAGACTTGTCAATATTTACTGAACGAAGCTGCTATTAAATTCTCTAACAAGATGGAGGTCTCTCGGAAAAAACAGGCCATAACATTTTTTTTTCTTCACAAAACGGGGCCAAACACACCCACTTCAAGAAACCATGGTTTGGGTCAGATTTTTCCGTAAGAATGGTTGTTTCTGAGGGGCTCGAGAGTGCACTTCTGGGACTGGAATCACTGTGAAGGTTTTCTCCGGACCCAGGTAAGGGGCGGGGGGCGGGAGCTGGGGTGGGGGCAGGGCAGTTGTCCCTGGATGCTCGCGAGGGCGGCGGCGAGGGACGATCCCAAAGCTCGGGGTTAGGTAATTAGTTCAGGGAGCGGAGGCTTTAGCGGTCCACCGGTACCTAACCAGCCACACGACGGGAAGCCCCACCACGCCGAGAGAGACGTGGGCTCCCCCATCCCAGACAAGTCAACACTGAATCTCAAACTCTCCTTTCTGCCTCCAGGCCCCGTCTGACCCCATTGGCAGCAGTTCCCGCCAATCCGCTCGGTCACCGCCCCCCAGGCCCGCCTGCCCAGCCCTGATTGGATGGGACGGGAGCCGGGACCTCGTGTTACCAATCTGGGAGCCCCTTACTCAGCCACACACGCAAGCCCAGGTACGCCCGCGGAGCCCCTTCCCCTCGCTAACCCCTTCCCCTCCCCCACCCCCAGGGCACAGGCAGACACTTACCGTCCCGGGAGGTGCCCATCAACTGGTCCAGCATCGCGCGCATCTGGGCCTGCGCCGACATGGCGGCGGCGTAGCGAGCGGACGGGCGGGGGTGGGGCGCAGACCGGGCCCTTTCGGGCGGGGGGGACAGGGGAAGGGGTGGGGGAAGGTGAGACGCTGTCTCAGTTGCCGCCGCCGCCGCCGCCTCGAGGCGTGTGGAAAGGGAGCTGGAGGGCTTGTAGGAGAGTCCGGGCTGCGGTCCTCACGACGATGCGTTAAGTGGAAGGCAGCAGCCCCCGAAAGCAACCCTCGTTCCCTCACTCTCCGTCGGGTCCTGGGACAGAAGCGTTACGGGCTAAGCAAGCTCTTGCCTCCAACACCGCCACCCGCCAGAAGCCGTCAGCCCCCCCTTCAAGCTCTGACGCCGCTCGCCGCCACCGTCGCCGGGACGTGAGCGCGCACGCTCCTCGCGCTTAGTTGTTTCCCGCGGGGGCTCCACCAACTGGCGTCCAACTGCATTTGCTCCACCCGCCCCGCCCGGGAGAGGTTCCACCCTAACGGCTCTCGGGCGCGTGCACGCGAGCTTCTCCCGCCCCTTTCCCCTCAGATCTCGCGAGACTAGTTATCAAACGACCCTCGAGCTAGATCCGCCCGAGGCGCCAAACTGCGGGCACCGGTCTCCAAGTGGGCTAAGGCCGTGAGGCACGCTGTGCTGGCGAACCGGACTCAAATTAGCAATTGTGCCAGAGAGTTAGCCCGAGTCGAAAGTAAGTGGAGACCTTGCGGATCGGTTCTACTGAGGTTAGCAGACTTAGTAGTTAATACAGGCGTATTTCTAACGCATACTCGCTTTCAGGGGCCCACCCAGAATTTGTACACCCAACCTCTTCCCCACTGCTGCCTTGACCTTCTATAAAAGGAACCGTGGAGAACTGATGTCTGAGTCTTTCATCTATGCATAGGGAAGCTAACCTCCCACCCCTGAACTTGATAACACCTGAACTTAATATACTAGGAAACAGGTGATCTAACGCATTCTGATCGATTATCATTGTTTATAACAGGAAGCTGTTAGTTTAAATTTGGAACTATAAAAGTTAAGCAGTATTTTTAGAAAGGAAAGGAGGTGATCTTTTAGAGAATTTTTTTGTCCCGTTTAAGAGGTAAGTTTGAAGAATTAGGCCTTTTCAGTGTATCGGCAGCATTGACGACGGCAAAGAAAGCCTGTGCTTTCAAAGCTTGCCATCACCTTGAATTCAAAATCTTAGTCGACTGATTGCTAACTGGGACCTTAAGCAGTTTATTTCGTAATCTCATGTTTATGGATATAAACACATACAGCACTGTTGTGAGGGTTAAATGAGCTAGCAGAAAATGCTTAGCCTGGTATTTTTTTGTAAACTTTTTTTTGTAAAATATTAATTCCTTAAAATGAGATATAGGTACTTCCTAGATACTTGGAAGAGAGATAACAGTAAAATTTTTTCATTAAAAATGCATATGCATTAGCTTGGAACTTATTAGAAAGATTAGTAAAAAAAACATAAAATAGTAGTCATAGGCCCAAGATCCCTTTGAATGAATATTGGGCCAATAAAAAATTTTAAATTATGCTGTCTTTTGTAACTGACAAAATAGTTTCCCTCCAATTATTCAAAGAATTCAAAATTCCAACAACTCCAAATACTAAGAATATCATTGAAAACAATTTGCAATAAGAGTGTACAAATTATTATGTCCTAGTGGGAGGCATATTCTATATACAGCATGATCCTTTGAAAAACTTGGAAGGCAAGTATAGTAACATGTTGAATAATTTATGTGTTAATGAGAATTTAGTTTTTATCCTTTACCTTCTACTTTTCTGGTTGCTTACGTTTTATTTTTTTACAGTTCAACTTCTTTATGTTACTCATTGAGGAACTGAGACAGCTGGAGGAACTATCCAGTGTCCCAGCATCCAGTGGTTGCTCACATTTTAAATATGTCTCATAAACAGCATATAATTGGCTTTTTAAAATTTAATAATCCTATTCATTTGTATTTGTGTAATTACTCATATGTTTGGTGTTAAAGCTCTTCTGTTTTGCCTATCTGTCTCATCTATTTAATTTTCTCCTTCCCTGCTTTCTTTCTAATCATTCCATTTTTTCCCCTTCTGGTAATTTGGAAGTTTCATTTTATTTTTATTCTTTTAACAGTTACCCGAAAAGTTAAAATGGTCATTCTTAATACCTTTTCACTTTGTCCAGATAACACAAAGAAGACGAACTCATTTTAACCTCTTCTGAAGTTTTATGCCTGTTATCATGTGTTTTAGTTCTGTGTTTTTTGAAGCTAAACTTCATGTAATTTACCACTTTTCTTTTCACTTCATGTGATGTTCATTACCACTTTCTTTTCTCTTCATTCCTTCTGGAATCGCTGCCTTTCCATCTGGAATCATTTCCCTTTTGTCTGAAGTCTAAACTTTAGGACAGGAGTCAGCAGTTTGGCCCACAGGCTAAATCCGGCCCACTGCCTATTTTTCTGAATAGTTTCATTGGAATACCGCCAGGCTCATTCATTTCCTATTGTCTATGGTTGCTTTTGCACTACGACAGCATTGTTGAGTAGTTGTGAAAGATAACATACTGTATGGCCAGCAAGACTGAAGTGTTTACTATCTAGCTTAAAACCGAAGTTTGCCTAACCTGCCTCAGAGTTTGCTTTTGTTGGTCTGCTCATGGGGAACTGTCCCACTTTTGTTGATCTTAAAAGCTCTTTCTTTTGCTTTTCTTCATTCTAGATAGGTATTTTTATTGGGTATAGAATTCTAGGTTTGAAGTTACTTTCTTTCAGCATGTACACTCCGTCTTTCTGCTTGTTTATCTTTGCTCCTATGAGGTCAGTTTTCAGTCCATTAGCCCTTTGCAGATAGTTGGCTGCTTTGAAATTTTGTTCTTACTAAGCTTTTGGTTTTCTGCAGTTTTACTATGATGTATCTGGGTGTGGATTTGTTTTTTTCTTTTAGGATTCATTGAGCTTTTAGAACCTGTGAACTTGTCTTTCATCAATTCCAAGAAATGTTTAGCTGTTCTTAAATACTGTTTCTCACTCATCAACGTCTAGACCTCCAAATAAATGACAATTTGACAAGTTTCACTGTATCATCTAGATCTCTTACTCTCTGCATTTTCTACCTTTCCGGTACTTTTGTTTTCTAACAAATTTTATAGTTCACTAGTCTCCTTTAAACTGTATCTAGTCTGCTGCTAAATCCATGAATTGAATTATTTTTTCAATTCTAGAGTTTTTATTGAGTTCTTTTTCAAGTCTTCTGTGCCTCTGTGTCTTTTTTATTTTTTTAAATTAGTTTCTGGTTCCCTGATAAAATTTCCAAGCCTGGTTATTCTTTGACCTTAGTTAACATCATTGTTTTGTAATCAGAGTTTGCTAAATTTAATTATCTGAAGTTTTTTTGTAGTGTTGTTTCTGTTGTCTATTTTTCTGCAGTTTTTCACTTAATGGAGTCTTGTTTTCTTGTGTGTCTGGTTATCTTTATGTGCTGAACATGTATTTGAAAAAACATGTAGGGGAATAGTATAAGCCTAAGTAAGATCTAATAATATCTTCCTCCAGAGAAGATTTTTATTTTTCTGATAGGTCATTGAAGTCAAGGACTACCATAATATAGGTTCAAGGTCTCAATTCCTCTTGACCACCAAAATGACAAAAATCTGGGCTAAAAACCTGGGCTGAAAACCTGGGAAGGACTTTTTGCTTACAGATCATCTTTGAGGCTGAACTTCAGAGTTCTAGATTGAAGTGGGTGTGGCTTTTTAGAGTGCCTACCTTGATGGGCCCTAGACTTTGCCTTTTGCATCCCTAACCCTACAAACCCCCCAAAAGTGCAGCTCAGTTTTGTTACTGAAGCAGTTATTACAAAACTGGCACATGCCCTGCAGCCAAATACGTGTCTTTTTGGGCTACATTTACAAGGGACAAAAGTGGTTCAGGGAAGAGATACAAGAGGTAAGTAAGAAGTCTGGACTAGAGTATGAGAGATTCAAGAGAGTCTTAGGAGGTAGAATCTAATTAATTCAGTGATTATTTAACTGAAGGTATGAAGGAGCAGAAGTAATCAACAATGACTCCATTTTCTGGCTTGAGTGACTGGCACAAGTCTCATTACCAGAGAAAAGATTTATAGGGGAAGATGATGAAGTACTATTTTGAATGCATCGGATTTGAGATGCCTTTGAATCATCTAAGTCATGTTGTCTGTGAAGCAGTTGGACATAGGGGTTTACAGAGGGGCTTGGCTGGAGTTAGCCTGTTGGTGATAATTGAAGCCTGGGAAAAAGAGGTGACCTCACCCAGGGAAACTATATCAAGTGTGAGATAACGACCTGAACCCGAGGAACATCAGCGTATATAAGGGATATGCAGAAGAGGAAACCGAAGAAAATTGGCTAGAGCAAGAGAAGAAAACAAGAATGTGATGTCATCAAAGCCATGAGAAAATAATGGTCAGTAGTGTCAGATGCTTCCTAGAAGGGCATCTGGCTGGCTCAGTCAGTAGAACAAGGGGATGTTGATCTCAGGGTCATGAGTTCAAGACCGGTGTTGAGGGTAGCTAAGTTTACTTAAAAAATATGCTCCCTAGAGATCAAGCAAGATAAGTAATGACCCACTGAGTTTAGTGACCTGAAGGTCATTTGTAACCTTGCAAGACAGTTCTGGTAGAGTGGAGGGGCAGAAACCAGACTATAATGGGTTAAGGATAATTGGGCAGTGAAAGATACAGAAAATGGACACACGCAACAACATGATTAACCTCAAAATCAGTATGCTACTCAGAAGAGTGCATACTATATGACCACACTTGGATTAAATTCCTGAGCAGGCCAAACTAATTTATGCTCACGGCAAGCGGGGTCAGTGGTTGCCTGGAACCAGGTGTGGGGAAGGGGAATTGGATTGACTTCAGAGGGCAACTTTCGAGGGTGACGGAAATGTTTAGTTTTCATAGGGTTGCTGTTATACAGATGTATTCACTTGTTATTCATTGGCCTGCACACTTAAAATGGATATATTATGTGTAAATCATACCTCAATACAGCCTATTTCATGTTTTAAATTTTCTTTAAGGTTTATTTATTTTTGAAAGACAGAGCAGGAGCAGGGCAGAGTCAGAGAGAGGAGACACAGAATGGGAAGCAGGCTCCAGGCTCTGAGCTGTCAGCACAGAGCCCAACGTGGAGCTCGAAGTCACAAACTGTGAGATCATGACCTGAGCTGAAGTCAGACACTTAACCGACTGAGCCACCCAGGCGCTCCAGCTTATTTCATATTCTCAATGAAGAGGTAGTAACTAAAAAGGCATTTGTGTAAGAGGTTGAGTATTTGTTTTTAGACGGCAGAACCTTGAGGATATTTAAATGCTACTATAATGCAGTGAGAGGAAGCAGTTGAAAATAAAGGAGCAAAGGTAAGAGACAGCAAAGTAAAGGAACAGGACAAAGCATGTAGCACATCAAAAACTAGAGCAGCAAATTAACACAGTGTAAAAAACCTCAGTTCTCGGAACTCTTAGGACAGAAAGTTTATCTTCAGTAGTTTGTGTTCCAAAATCATTTCCTTCTATTTCTAAAACTGAGTTCAACTAATTCTTTCTGGTAAGACCATTAGTAAGAAGCACAGGTTTGAATATTTACGGATAGAAATGGCCTGAGCAGGGGCCCCAGGCTGGCTCATTCAGAAGAGCGTGCAACTCTTAATCTCGGGGTTGTGAGTTTGAGCCCGATGTTGGGCATGGAGATTACTTAAAAGTAAAATCTTAAAATCTATTTAAAAAAGAAATGTCCTGAGCAAATTATTTAAAGTAAAAAAAACCTGTCCACAATCCAGAAGATAGGTGGCAATAGGGCTTAGAGAAGGGTTCATGATAAAAGAATGAAAGTATAGTAAAATGATGAAAAGTTAAGATTTTCTTTTTGTCAAGTCCTCCTTATTTACTGTGCAAGTATTTTCTATATTTATTACAACCACCTTGTTGGCATTCCCATTTTACAGAAGAGGGAACAAGCTCAGGCCAACTAATCTGCCCAAGATAACACAGCTGGTGAATCAGAAAAGTGGATTAAAACCTAGGTCTCTATCACTTCCAACCCATAATAAATACTTTACCCTGGTTAGGCAATTCTGCCTCAAATTTTATTGTATGTGCAATATTGTAACAACAAAAGAAATAAAAACTTAACCTACCCTAATCCTTTTGCCTTCTTTATTTTATCAAAGTAAGACATCTTCAGGTAATTTACTCCTGCCTGAAACGCCTGGGTGAGTCAGTAGGTTGAGAGTCCAAATCTTGTGGTTTGTGATTTCAACCCCACATCAGACTTTGGGCTGACAGCATGGAGCCTGCTGCAGATTCTCTCCCTTCCTCTCTCTCTCTCACTGCCCCTCACCCACTCCTACTTTCTCAAAAATAAACATTAAACTAATAATATACTTATGCCCATGAAATAAAACAGGAAACGAACTATGTTAAATGTTTCTAGTTTGTTGATCCATTAATTGAATAAATGCTTGTTTGATCTCTTAATACAATTGTTTCCATGTTGGTCTCTTAGAAGAAATGGTGTGTGGAGTGCTTTATGACCAGTTCTGTTCAGATTGTACTCCTAGCAAGTAGTGCTAACTTAGCTATGTGTTCAAAATGTGGAATAATGCTACGTGTAAGTCACCAGGGATGGTGCCTTGGAGACTACAAAGATGAATGCGGCCTGGTCCTTACTCTTCAGGAGCTTGCAGTGCAGGGAAGAAGCTGTAAGACGTGCCTACAAGAAACTGACCTAGGCCACAAAGTGGTCACAGATAAAGAACCACTAGTGGTTCACCGAAAGAGTAATTTGTATATGAGAATGTTAGAAGCAAAAAAGAACATTTAGGAGACTAGTTTAGTAGTTCAGGCAAAAGTCTGTTAGTGCCTCAATGAGAAGAGAGGCAATGAAGAGACAGGGAGGAGGGAGGGATGTTAGAGCCACTGCAGAAGCAGAAATTGCTGATTGACTAGACATGGAGACTAAGAGTCAGGAATACAAAATGAAGCTAAAGTGTTTTACTTGGGTCAGCCAAGTGCATGGTAGAGCCCTTCACCCTGATAGAGAATTCAAGAGGAACAACAATTTGACAAAAGGCAGAAGAAGTCACTATGCTCATTCCATGTCCCTGTCCCTGGACTTCCTCCCTACAGCCTGCGGTTGAGTGATGGTCATGTTCCTATACCTAAATGTCAACTCAGCCTATGGAGGTAATAGCTCCCAACTATTGCTAGCCTCTAGAAGCATCACATCTTTATATATCCCTTCATTAGCTCTCCTCAGCAACCCTATTTGAGTATACCATCTGTTTTCCTGTCAGGAATTTAAACACATCATATCTGTGTGTTTTGTACTAAAGTGTGTGTGTGTGTGTGTGAGAGAGTGAGAATAAATAGTATGCTTATATAAGGATATATATGCTTTCCAATAGCTGGAAAGATACACACCGAACTGTTAGAAAAAGTTCTCCCCTGGTAACACGGATGGGAAAGGGGAGGGGCAAGGGAAAAGAAAAGAAAGCTTTTATTTTATATTCTATACCATTTGAATTACTTAAAACAATGTTTGTATACATTTAAAATAAAAATAATAAAGCTTAAAAGTCAATGAAGAGCATCAATCAGCCTAATATGAGAAGTTCAGTAAATTCACTGAGTAAGGATAAAACCTAAGAAACACTCAGCTGACAAAATTACATAGCAAAACCCTAAACTTGCAAAAAAATTTAATGATAAATATACAGATAGAAATGATTAAATTCTTGTCTGAAGGCAGCTTCCAAGGAATCTCCATTCTCATGGCTCCCAGCCCTTCCCTCCAGGCTGCTGAGGCAACTTGAGACCCACCAAGCCAGCAGACTCCTCCACGGAGCGCTCACCCTTGCCATGAAATTCCTGGTGAAGGGTCACGTGTTCTCGAATGCTGCGTAAGAGGCAGAGGTAGGTGGCAGCTTGGAAATGAAGTTCATGTTGGGCTCTGCACAACTTCTCACTGGTAACCTGGAGAAGTAGCAAGGTCACATACTTTATTAACAGCCCAGCTACAGATACAGAGCCAGAGAGATTCAAGAAGCATTCTCTAGCATGGAAGTAAATTGCACAGAGGGAATAAAAACATGTATATGTGTATACTAATTATATATGTAGAGACACTCTAATTGTGGCTTAGGAAAGCTGACCTCTAATTAATTGAAGAGGAATTTTACAAGGAGTTTCACTGAGGAGCTTCATTGAATGTCCTTACATTTTAATACAGAAAAAGTCATTTCAACTCCCTTGTTTTACAAATGAGGAAACTAAAGCCCAGAGAGGCTCAGTAGTTGGTTACTGGCAGAGATGGGAAACTATAATAATTAATGTCGCCTAAGGTGTATAGAACTCTCTCCCCTTCAAACAAATGAGAGTCTAATTTTTATATTTCTGACTTTGGTTAATGTCGTAGATCTGTCATTTCAATGAAAAGCAAAACCATATTGTCTGGAAAAAGAATAGCTTTGTCCTCAACAGTAACAAAATGAAGGCTTTATATATAAAGTTAATATCCATATACTCATAGAATATTACTTAAAATTTACTTGTCCATCTGAAAAATCCATATTCTGACGACTGTAAATAGCTAGAAGCGATATCCATTCACAAGTCCCCAGTAATTGCAAACCTTGTTTTTTCTTCATCACAACCAATTTCCAGATTTAGCACACTGTCCTTTATTTGACTAGCTTTGGGTTCTGAACTTGGGAGAATAGGTGAGACTGAGATGTATACATAGCTTAAAACACTTAAGGAGCCCTTTGTTTGTCTAAATGCAGATTAACCTCTGTGCACCACTGCCTATGTAAACCCCTTTGACCTTTTTTCACTTGAATATGTAGAGGTGGGATCTGAAAACCAGAAAGCGTGGTTTAAGATCTGCACACCACACATACAAAAAAAGAGCTGCAGATCACATATGTGAAAATGACACTCATGAGCTGCTCAAAAAAGGAACTCCTCTGCTTTAATCAATTAACATTTTTTTTTTTTTTTTTGGAGAGAGAGAGAGAGAGACTGCAAGCTGAGGAAGGGCAGAGAGAGAGGAAGGCACAGAATCCTAAGCAGGCTCCGGGTTCTGAGCTGTCAGCACAGAGTTTGATGCAGGGCTCAAACCCACGAACCGCAAGATCACGACCTGAGCCGAAGTCAGACTCAACCAACTGAGCCACCCAAGTGCCCCAATTAACTTTTTATAAGTAAAAACTTGTGAGCGACCAACACCAACGAGAAACATTAAAAACAAGTAACATCCATTTCTATTATAAACCCCAAAATTGATAAGATTTGAAACAAATTCTGTTAGTGTAGGCCATGATTCAGCTAAGCCTGAATCATAAGTCAGGGGAGAAGAGTCAGCAATATATAAACAGTATATGAATCACAAAGAGATCAAAAACAACAAAAAAAAAAACGGGTTATTTTCTCCAAGGAGAAAGCAGAGGTTCCTCCCTAACTGAACCTCTTCCATTTAGGGGAAGGATGGAGAAAATGAGCATAGATGGTTATTGAGTTAGTTCTGAACCAGCAGGAAACAAAGCATTCTCCATATCCTCGCTGTGTTTCTGGAACTTGTAGTATGAACATCCACGAAACTTGAGAGCCTCTCTTAAGGGCAATAATGCCCCCATAAGGTACACCCATAATCATGTCATCTTAAAATCTTAGAATGACCTTCCATTATATTTACAAGGAAGTTTAAGTTCCTGCCTACCACATCTCCCACTTCACCTTCCACCCCCTAATCTTTAACCAGTCTCAAATGTCTGTTCTCACCTCTGGGCTTCCAGTTGTACAGCTTCTTTACCTGGACCTCATCTTCCCCGACCCCCATTTGCTTGCAAACTCTTACACTTCAGGTCCCTGCTTAGTTTCCTCCAGAAATCCTTCTTCATACAAGGACCTCCCGTTGTTTAGGCTCTTAGCACTTACTTATTCTAAGTGCTTTGTTGTAGGGCTCCTTGGTTGGACTGTAAACTTCCAGGACCCATGTGCATCTCATTCATTTTAGCCAAGTTCCTTGAAGTCCCGAACACCGTGGCCTTTAAAAAGCTTTTGAATTAGAGGCACCTGGGTGGCTTAGTCGGTTAAGTGCCCGACTCAGCTCAGGTAATGATCTCTCGGTTCATGGTTTCGAGCCCCATGTCAGGCTCTGTGCTGACAGCTCGGAGCCTGGATCCTGCTTTGGATTCTGTGCGTCTCTCTCTGCCCTACCTGATTCATGCTGTCTCTCTCTCTCTCAAAAATAAATAAATATTTAAAAAATAAAAGTTTCTGAATTTTAGCCCCACGTTGGGTGTAGTTGCCCCATTTGAAAAATAAAACTTCTTCCACCCGCTCTTGCCTAAGAGGAATATGGAGTGTGGATTTCACGAAGGAATTTCCCAAGGAAAGCTTCCCATGTGTTCATATTTATCTGCTATAGAAGGAAAAAATATATCTGGTCAGATAATCACGTTAATGTGATAGCACAACCTCATTACAGATTTCTAGATCAGCGGCACATGTCCGTTAAATGGGGTATGAAATACAACATAAGTGAAACACAGTTCCTACCAAGTTCTTAATAGTCCTCATCTTATTACAGTTCTTTTCTGCCTCAAAACCAGGTTTTCAGAATAACTACCATGGGAAGGATGAGGAAGAGTGACTGATAGATGCTGCCGCTAGTGACCCTCCACGCTCCACCAACTGCATTTCTTCTCCTCCTGCCCCCTCCCCGCCCCCCATCTCCTCCACTTCACTCTCTTGACTGTCCCCGCACCTGCGAAAGGCCAGCCAATGAAATCCCTGGTCCTTGGCTAGTCCCCGGGCCTAGGCCATAGCCTAAGGTCCAGGGCCTGTGTTTGCCTGGCCAGAACCACGGCGGGCTGGGAGGGTTGGTTTCAGAAATGCAGGCGCTGGGACGACGCTCCCTACCCGCAGCCAGGCCCTACCCTCTTCCTCCTTCCTCCCCCGGGGAACGGGCGCCGGAGCACCCGGACACGGGCTGCCGTACCCGATGCGCACGGAAAGCCTTCACGAGGTACCGATAGGCCGCGGCGTCACGATAGGGTCGGCCAGTGGCCGCGTTCATGTAGCGCAACTCCCGTAGAAGGCCTCGTAAAGTGCGCACCGGCGACCCCAAGGCCGCCATTTTCCCGTCCTCGGAGCGCGGTGCCCAACGGCGCCCTACGCCCCTCCTACTCGCTCCCCACCCGCCCAGCTGCTTAGTGGTACGGTCCGACCCACAGTGCCGGATCCCCCCTTCAATTACCGAGTAGTGGAGTGTCTCACTTCCCTTCTCCGCACAGCGTTACTAATCAAACGCCGAGCGGCGGCTTAAGGAGTTAAGAGAGAAGTAAACGAAAGCCGAGTGTAACTGCCTCGCCAGGTCCTTAAGAAACACTTGAGAAAGGGCCAGGCGAGGGGAAAGGAGGGTCTTTGGTGACTGCGTCATTTAAGACGTCATTAACTGACCGCGGAGTCCCGAGAATAAGTGGGCCTGGTAGGAATAGGTGTTGATTTGAAATAGAACACGAAAGATATCGAGAGCACGGAGTTCCTAGAAATCCCACGGCACTGTGGCAGCTCAGAAGAAGGAAACAGAATATGCTTATTCTTGCAAACAGTAGCCCATCACCTAGGGAAACGACACATTTACTTCGCATTTTTAAAAGGTAAAATTAATTTCGCATATTTCGGTAAAGTTCTTTAAGAATGGCAAAAGTCTTTTATCAAGGTAAAAAGCTCATCACCCCAGATGGGACTCGAACCCACAATCCCTGGCTTAGGAGGCCAATGCCTTATCCATTAGGCCACTGGGGCTTCTGCGAGCGAAGCGCTCCAGCAACGTATTCAATTTTTTTTTTTTTCCTCTTTGGTACGTCATCGTCACTTAGGTCTCCTTTTAACCTATCCTGAGAAACCACACCTAATACCACTGTGAGGGGTGAGGCATGCTGGGAATTGTAGTTCAGAGGACAAGCGTTCGCGTTCCAGCTCCAAAGGCTTTACCCTCGAAACAGCACCGATGCGCCGGACGGAGGACGGGCGCGCGCACGGTTTTGCGTACGCGTTTGCCTGCCTGGTAACCCCGCGCCTGCGCAAAAGTGGGCATGCGATGTCGTGGAGCCGAGCGCGCTGGGCACATTGGCCGAATCTCGGAGACTCGCCCTCTGAGCTGCTGCTGTGTAGGATTTTTACCGGAAACAGCCGGCCCCTTCCGGTGTTGCGGCTGTCCGGACTTAGCTTGGCTCCAACACGCCGTTAGGTGGCGTCCGCAGCGGTCACTTTCTGTTTCCGGTTGTAGGGGTGAGGCCATTTCCGGCAGAGCCATTGGCGAGTTGCGAACGTGTACCTTGCCGCCTGTATTGTCAAGTCAGAGTGAAACGGAGGACAGCGGGGATTTATTATTTAATTCGTTAGGAATTAGTTAATTAGAAATAATAGTTATTTTTCTGCTTCTGTTCCTAATTGTATAACTTAATGTGCCTTGAGTTATCAGCGATCTTAATTCCTCGTTTAAAATCTCGCAGTGGCTCCCCATTGCCCCGGATACTTGCATGTATCGTAACCGTCATCTCTCACTACTTGTTTCCTCCCACTTTTTTTCGCACTAGGTATCTCTACTTCTCTCTTCTTCCTCTCCTCCCCTTGTCTTATTTCCTCTGCCTGAAGTTTGGCCATTTGTATTAATATTCTTATTTAAGTTTTGGGCTTCCAGTTTCCTTGAGAAGTCTAGGTCAGACACTGCGTTAGGCCTTTGTGGTCAGTATGGTAAAGCTAAAACGATTTATTTCACCTCTGCACTCCTCTCGATTCTCTAGATGACATTAATCTTTCCTTTTACATGAAGATTACCTGTGTCTCTGTTCCATTATCTTCCACATGAGCCAGGATGCAACTGCACAGACTCCTACCTGGCCACTCTTAATAGGTCCCTCCTCCTGGGTCCCTGTTAGGGCCCATCAGCTGTATCTGTGGCCCATTTTAAGTTAAGGGTTCATACTCTGGCTGGAATCCTGACACTTCCAGAATCGACATTAGAGGAAACCATACTAGAATGACTTCATATGAGTGAATTAATTTCTCCGTGTGGCATTCATAAAATGTTTATCAACCTATAATTCACAAGTATCTGATTTTAAAAGGTACATCTGCAGGAGGAGTTGGGGAGAATCCTATCAGTTCTTCTCCTCATAATATTGTTAAAGAGAAAAACCACAGGCCGAAAATGGTGTCACTTAGGTTAAGAGCCCAAGTCAGTAAACCAAGAATTAACACCTAACCTGACTACAGTAATAAGCCCCCCAAAGTGGAACCTATAACCAGTCAATGCGGAAATTTCTCGGTCAGCACCAGGGCATTTACTGAGAGACCCCATTCTTTCCCCTTAGGAAGGTGACCTTGCCTAAAACAATGGATTCTTAGCTAATAATTTCCTTTTTTCAACTCTCTACCTTAAAAACCTTTCCTTTTCAATAGTCCTTTGGAGCTCCTCTATAGTTGCTAGATGGGTTGCTGCCTGATTCTTAAGTTGATTAGATCTTTTCAAATTTATGAGGCTGAGGGGCGCCTGGGTGGCTTAGTCGGTTAAGCGTCCGACTTTCGCTTAGGTCATGATCTTGCGGTTTGTGGGTTCGAGCCCCGCGTCGGGCTCTGTGCTGACTGCCAGCTCAAGCTCAGTGCCTGGAGCCTGTTTCAGTCTGTGACTCTCTCTCTCTCTGACCGTCCCCTGCTCACACTGTCTTTCTCTCTCTCTCTCTCCTAGAAATAAATAAAAACATTAAAAAAAAAAAAAGAAAAAAATTTATGAGGCTGAATTTTTATTTCACAATATAATTTGTTTAACCAGCCTTCTAAGATGTAGCAAATTTAAGCCAGCTCTGAGGAACTGGGAGAATTTATTGGAAGTAGGTCTTCAAAAACTTGGTATGTTGTGGTCCAGGGCAGTAAGTAATTGTGAATACCTTTCTACTGAACGGCCAAGAGACTCTTCTGCTCTAGGCCATTCTTACACTAGGAAGGGGTAAACAATCATGAAATGTTATGTATACGTAGCCATTAATCTCCAAAGATGGCCCTCCAGCAGTCTTCTCTTTCTATACATCTGTTGCTCCTTACGTCAAGAGGTGAAGCTTCTTTCCTGCCCCTTCCCTCTCTTGAATCAGAGTGGTCTTTGCGACTAGTTTTGACCAATAGAATGTAGCAGAAGTGACATTCTGGAGCTTCTATAGAACACCAGGTCTTAAGACCAGCAACTTTCACTTCCTGCTTCTTTCTTATCTAGCTACTGTGCTATGAAAACCCCAAGGCACAGGGAGGGGTACTGGGATAGTCCCAGGTGGGCTCTCCTCTGACAGCATCAGTTGCCAACCATGTGAATAAGCCGTCTTCGATGTCCAGATGTCCACAACTTCTGCCATTGTCAGCTGGAGCAGGGAATTGCCCTGCTAAACCCTGTTAACCCAAAGAATCATTAAAGATGATAAGAGGGCTGTTGTTTGGGAATGATTCCAAGTTTTGAAATTTCCATGCAGCAACAAAACACCACATCAGTCTGAAAAAGTTTGTAGAGACAATTTAGTCCAACTTCCCAGTTTTGCAGCTTTAGAAAATCTTTCTATTCCTAGTTTCAGGGCTACAAACTTGAAACCCTACAGCAGAGACCAGGCAGGTAATGCAAGAATAAGTAAGGCCAGGTGGGCTCATACTTCCTGCAAAGGAGCTGGACACTTGCAGCTCAGTCTCATTGGTGCCAAGTAGGCACATGGTCCCTGTGTTGCCAGGGTTTTTGATTTTTCAATAGTTGTAAATCCAGTATTTTTATGAAGTGCCCTGCCTTTTCAATGTCAGCAATCAAGCTAAAAACAATAATGTATCAAACAGAACACTTCTGTTGGCCTTATGTAGCCTAGGGTTGCAAGTGTGTGAACTGTGTCCCGGGAAAATTCACAGGCAACAACCCATTGGACCTTCGCCACAATCCTATGAGGTAGTACCCTGATTTTACCCACTTACAAATGTGGGAACAATCTCAGAATAACTTCGTGGGTTAGTCAACATTATGAACTGGTCTGCGGAAAATTGATATTTGGCCCCAGGCCATCTAACCCCAAAGCATATTAAATTTTTAAAGTTATAGCAAAAAAAGAATTTTTATTAAAAAGATGCTGGGTAATTTTCAGAATTTCCCGGTAAGGCCAGAGACCAGGCTCAGAAACCTCACCCAGTGTCCTGCCCCAGGGCTGCTTCCAGTGAAAACACCACCAGCCACAATTGCTACAGCTTCACAATGCAGACAAAATGACAGGGAACAGGGACTGGGCATCAGCACCGAAGCTGCTGCTCCAGGACACTGGTTTGGGCTGGTTTCTCTGCTCTTACTTATGCCAGAATGGATTAACTGTCTTCCTAAGAGTCCCATTCTGGGGTGAGTACTTCTAATTAACATGGCCTGGGTCATGTCCCCATGTTTTGGTCAAGGTTGGCTGGGAAGGCAAATATTTTATCATTCATTAAATTTTTATTGAGCATGTGCCATGAGTTAGGCACTCCTATAGATAAGGAAACAAAAGCAAGCAGAGTCGGTAAAACTTCGATATTCATGAAGTTACCATTCTAGAAAGGGGAAGACAGACAATAATCAAATAAATAATAATCAAATTTTGATAAATCAAAATTTATCAAGTGGTGATGAGTGCTATGGAGAAGAGTAAAGCTGGGGGCAGGGGATTGGAACCTGCTGCCTTATAATGTGTTCAGGGATGTTTTTAGTAACTTGGTGTCATTAGAGCAGAAACACAGGTGGTATAAGCAACTTCAGCTTGTGTGTGCGCGCATGTGTTGGGGTGGGACAGTGCCCATACTTTTTTTAAAGTAGGCTCCATGCCCGGCATGGAGCCCAACATGGGGCTTGAACTCATGACCATGAGATGGAGACCTGAGGTGAACTCAAGAGTCGGCCACCCAGCCACCCTAGTGCCCATATTTTTAAGTAGAGACCCAACCTCTATTCCTCAATCATTGTGAGGGTATCAGTTCTGGTCCTTCAAGCTCTGTGAAGGAAAAAAAAAGGAATTCTGGGACATTTTCTGTTCCCAGTGAAACTGTGGGAACAGACCCAGAGGGTTCAGTCTTAAGTTTGCAACTATAGCTGGGTAGCCAAGCCAGCCGGTCACATGGGAATCTGGGGAAATTTTTGGTGGGAAAGAGCCAGGACT